GTGTGTGTGTGTGTGTGTGTGTGTGTGTGTGTGTGTGTGAGCACTACCATGACGATGCCGCTGTTGGCGCTGGCGTTCCTCAGGTGGTTGTGCAGCAGCTTGGTCGTCCCGTCCTGGAAGGTTTTGGGCAGAGCTCCGAGCAGCATCGTGAACTCAGGAGTGTTCAACTCAAACAGAGCGATCAACACAACCTGGGCCGCCTGCACACACACACGCACACACACACAGGTCACATGTTATATCTCCACGACTTCCTCCTGTTTCTTCCTGTTTGGTCGCTGCTGTGAAACAGATAATTTGTCCATAACTGAATTATTTCAACAGCATTTGAATCGGAGCGATTCTGTCCCATGGAGACGGAGACGGTCGATCACTGTTGTGCCGTGAGACACGACTCCATCTTAACACAGGATTCGAATCTAATATCAAATGATCCGACCATCCCCCAAACATTTCCTTGATTCTTATTAATGAACCAGAAACACAGAAGTGACATTTTGTGACGCAGGTTAAAAACCTTGACGGAATATTTAACCTCCAAGGTTAAATATTTTAAAGTTTCATGTTAAGAAGCACATCTGTTGCCGTGCACATGCAGATCGTTGATGTTTGCCTCAAAAATAAAAAGTTCGTTAAGCAAAAGCTGGAAAATAAATGTTTCTGCTTCAAGTTTTCTTCAGGAAAATTAAAAAAGTTTCTGGAAAAAGAAAATCATGCAAAAACGTTTTGGGGAAGAAACGTAAGTTTTCTTTTTGTTCGAGATCAGTCGAGTTAAATCTGCACAGACTCAGCGTTCATGCACAAACTGACACATTCAAATCCTCGACTCATCATCGTCTTGATTCAACCGCAGAGAGCGAATCACTCCCATCGCTGAGAAAGTTTTCGAGCGGTTAGAGAAGCGTTCACACAGCTCGCCCACTCCTCGGGTTATTTTCATTCTCTCTGTGAAACCGACAGAGCAGATGTCGGGGTCTGCAGAGCGGCAGCCGCTCGCCGGGTTAGAGCGGGTTACGAGCCCCGGCCGTGCAGGTCGATGGAGTTTCTACCTGCTTGCACCTCTCCTCCAGGTTACCCTCCCCGGGCAGAGAGGCCACAGTGCTGGGTCGGCCTGAGAAATCCTCCCCTGCCCAGTTGTGAAGGGTCTGGGGGTTCGGTGGACGACAAATGGCAATTGGAACAAAACGTGGGAACAAAAAACTAAACTTAGCAAACAAAGGAACACAGATTCGAGACATAAGGTGACAGGAGGGAGGTTTGTTCTGGAGGTGGCGCTGGAGCTCCACGCCGCCCGACCGCCTACCTTGCGGACGTCGGAGCTCTTGGGCTCGGTGGTCCAGGTGATGATGCGTGAGACGGCGAGGCGCGTCTCGCTGGAGTTGACGAAGTCGGACGGATCCATCTGGCGAGCCAGAGCCTCGATATAGCGCAGGATGGCCACCTTCACTTTCAGGTTTGGAGTCTGCGTCTGATCCACGATGAAACGCATCAAGATGTTGAACTGCTGCTCGTACGGGAACGACTCCCTGAGGAGACGGACAAAAGTAAAGAGACACAGGAAGTACAAGTCAGCGCGGAGACACAAAACCCAGAAAGTAAAACCAGGACAAGATTTGATGTTCTGGTCTCAGAAGTTTTTAAATTGTTTGATTTTAGGATTCATCCTGAAGGCCCGGTCTCACCTGGTGATGTCCAGAGCCTTCTGGACTTTGGCCTGGACGGAGCCCAGGAGGTCGGCGCCCATCTTCTTCAGCAGCTGAGTGAGCAGGACGAAGAGCCAGTCCTGCAGGTCGTCCCTGTGCAGCACGATGAAGTCCACCAGCGTCTCCAGGAACATGCTGAAGACCTGAGACGCACAGAGGGATGATGGGAAGGTGACGTCAGACGGGAGGAGCAAGACGAGAGGAGAGAGGGAAGGAAACAAAACCAAGGAAGAACAAAGAAGTTGTTGTTCTTCACTGTGTTTGTTTCGGACGAAGCGGCAGAAGGTGGAGGTGAGTCAACACTTACTCTCTGGTGTTAGAGTCCGCAGCAGCGACGAGGCATGCAACAGAAAAACACACGGTTAGTTTGTCCGTTAGTTCTGACGAGTGAGAGAAAACACACGTAGCACAAACTGTGAGACGATCCCGAGGATTATTCTTCTGCCTGACGCCAGCACACCGCTGGATCTCACCTTACTGTGAGGGTCTGCGAACATCCTGGTGAAGATCTCACAGAGTCTCTTCAGCTCCACGCGGCTGTCGGACACAAAACGAGAACCACGGTCAATCACCGTCACTCGCTGAAAAGTACAGGACAGACGCTGACTGATGTGAAGGTTCCACCATGTTCCCACCTGAGCATCCTCTGGCTCTTGAGGAGGTTCTGCAGCCCCAGAAGCCCCTCCTTCCTCTCTGACCAGTTGGCGCTGGCGCAGTGGTTCAGCACCTCCGCCACGTCCTCCGTCTGACGCAGGTAGTGCGGCCCCATGCTGCCGTTGCGCGAGCTGTACGAGCGCTCCGAGCAGGCGCTGGAGGCGTCGCTGTTGGCGTCGTCGTCTGAGTACATGCCCGGCGACTCGAAGCGCCGCCGCACCGGCCTCCGCTGATCGAGAGGAGAGGAGAGAGAGTGAGGCGTCGCGGACAAAACCGAAGAGTCACGTCAGACAACAGCAGACATGCTAGGACCAGAGGCTTCGACGTGCAGCTACAGAGACATGCAGGTGACACTTCATTTACACAGAGACATTTTCACATGCACTACGCTAACAGGAGGAAACAGCTTCAGTCTGAGTCAGATCTCTGTGTGTTGAAGGGGTCAGAGTTGGAAGCTCATGCTCTACATGCAGGGAGAGGACGGAGCGAGTCCAGAGTTAATGTACCTTACTCCTGGAGTCTCCTAAGAGCTGGAGTTCACAGAGTCCGGGGAGAACACAGAGGAGACGACATCAACAACATCAGCAGACATGTCGTTTCGATTTCTTTGTTTCGGAGAAATAAGTCTGAATTCTCACCAGAGCGTCTGCTACGGCAGCCTCCACCTCGGTGCCGGTGTTGAGGATTCTCATGGCGTCGACGGAGGCCGAGATCCGAGCCTGATGGGACAGTCGGTCTGAAAAAAGTTTTAAAAAACGCACATGAGCGGGTGAGGACGAGAGAGACAAGAGGACGAAACTCAACTGTGAAGATGCGAAGCCGGAACATGGGAAGTTATCGTGACCAGAACGAGTGAAGGGTCCCGGGTGAATGTCTGACCTCGTTAATGAGGTTTTGTTGAAAAGAAACTGACGTGTTTGAGGAAAGTGACATTACTAAAAAAAAAAAGGAAACTACGTCAATTAAAAACAATCAGTGAACAATGAGAAAGTAAAACTCGTTCTAATCACAAAACAGCCAGAAAACGATCAACTGCATTTAATATTGAAAGCAAAAGAAAAAGATCAGGCAAAAAAGCTGCGAACGAAAGATTTTGTCTTCACATTTCAAAACAAGTTTCATTTTTTCTACAAACCGTCGCAGCAACTTATATTTTATAATCGTGACAAGCAGGCAGATGTGGTGTCGCCCCCTGCAGGTGAGTGACATAAGTAAGAAACAACCAACAACAAGTTCTGTGTTTTTCACCGGTTAACCAACGTTAACGATTCAACAGCATCTGTCTGGTGATTGTTTCCCACTAGAGGGCGATGTTGGTCATGCGTGAAGAAGCAGACGACTCCGTCAGCCAGATGCACGAAGATGAATTCAACCGAATCAACGTTTATGAGTCTTTTCATTCTATCTGGCGGACGGAGTGGATCCGTGGAGACGTCACCTGAGTAACACTCTGCCGAGGACAGAGCGCTGGTTGAGCGGGAGTGACGGCGAGTCGCTGGAGGAGGAAACACAACTGTTGTTATGGCGATACAGAAACGACTGATTATTTCAACACTGATCTGAGATCATTAGCAGAACAGAGAGTTACAACAGAGCAAGGCAGAGACACGTGCAGGAAGACGAGGGTCCAGTAAAGTTGAGGGAGGGACAGGAAAGAACTCTTTGGAATGGGCGGCGCTGTTTACGATTTTAAAAGTTGATTGGAAGTGGAAGCCAGAGAATTCGTGATGAGGAATTAAAGGTGAGGTGAGACAGATAAAAACATCTGTCAGCGTCTCTTCACCAGAAGATACGATCGATCCAGGGCGATGCGTGAATTTATTAATTCGCTTTAGATGATTATTCTGATTCCTGCTTAACGTTAGAGAAACATCAGCTCTACACATCTGTCTCTGTTTCCAGATGTTGTTCTCTCCTCCGCTGAGAGGAGCAGGATTCGTTGGGGAACGTCAGGACCATACTCACCCAGGGGGGAGAAACCCCGGGCTGGGCTGGTGTCGCGGCTGCTCTCGCGACTGGTTTCGCGGCTGCAGCCCTGACTCATGCTCGGTCGGGGGATTCGACTCCGGGCTGGAGAGGTGAGACAGACAGACAGACAGACAGACAGACAGACAG